TGAATGGCGTAAGAAGGTCACAAAAAATGATGTATGCGTTGTTGGAGCATGCACAGATCTGTTGATTGTTAACTTCATCTTCGACAAAAATTCGCTTCAATCTGTATAATTTTGGACATTTTCTCGAATCATCTTCTCGAGGACGCGGTTGACGGGTTCTGTCAGACCATCAGTCTGAAATTAGTCCGAAGTAGGTTTAGCCAGATGTGTTCCGAGGGAGCGGAACACGAATTGCCATAACGCCGCCTTTAAAGGAGGTTCTCTATCAGTGCTTATTTACAAAGTAGATAGTGAAGTAGGAATATCGCGTCAATGAAGACACGGGCATAATTATGGGCTGAGATTGACTCATTAACAGCAGCAAAATGTTTCATCTAGCTGATCCGGCCTACGAACACAAGATTATCTTTATTCTTGTGAGCTTCTTTGGAAAAACCGAAGACGAAGTCCATTGAGACGGACGGCCAGTACTCTGCCGAAATTGGCAGAGGATGTAGTGGCGCAAGGGATGAAGGAGTAGGCTTCACCCGTTCGCACACCTCGTAAGAGCGAATGAACGTGCGCACAAACCGATATTGGCGAGGACAGTAAAAGTCGTGACTAACCGTGAGAGAAGTCTTATAACGCCCACGATGCCCACAGGATAGTGCATCATGACACTTATACAATATGCGCAGGCGCAAATCGTTGTGAGTGGGGACGACAACACGAGGTGTTTTTCTGGCAACGTCTGAATATTAAAGCAGACAGTTGCGTGTTGTGTACCGATTTGCAGAGGTTTGATGCAAGGCCGGTTAATTTTTCGAAAAATTTGCAAGATGTAGTCACAGATGATCCATTGGTCTCAGAAGAGCCATACGTTCTGCGTAGGCCTTTTTATGTCCTTAAGCAATTTTAACGATGGAACACTAGTGACTTGTGTTGCAATAGTGATACCAACTCCACTGTGGAATTTCTCCTCAGACTCAGAACCTGGTCGGCACGGCAACGCGTCCACGACGAAATTAAGTCGTCCGGGTTTGATCTCCACGGAAAATTTGTACATCGCGAAGAACGACTGCCACTTCGACATCCTTTGCGAGAAGTGTGGACTGTTTACGACCGTGCATAAAGACGCGTGGTCCGTAAAGACTACGAACGTCCTATCTTTAATGGAGATAGACACGAAAAATGTTTGTGCGTACTTTATAGCAAGGCGTTCCTTGTCATGCAATAGGTACATACGCTAAGTAGCTTGCAGCTGACGCGATAAATAACGACGACGCGCTCTGCGCCGTCTGCTTCGTACTGTATTAACGTGAAGCCGATTGAAAAACTTGCTGGCGTCACAGACCACATGGAATGGTCTGTCCTGGTCGGCAATTGCCAAGATGGGCGATTGCATCAAGCTCTGCTTTATGCCTACAAAGGGAAGCTGAAAACCAGCGTCCCAACCACTTCTCGTCCTTTTTGAAAAGACGAGAGAGACGAATGGTCATCTCGGCGTTGTTGCGCGAGTACTTTTTTAGTATCCCTTTAGACTTAGTGACTTCATAAGTCCCTTAACGTCGATCGGCACGGGTCAGTTAGTAATTGCCTTGGTCTTTTTTGGGTCAGGGTGGACGCCTTGTTGACGCACGATGCACCCAAGAAATGGTACTTTGCTAGCCGAAAATGTGCACTTCTTGAGCTTTGCATACAGCTTATACTTGCGCATAAGTGTAAGAACCTGATGAGCGTGTGTTCGATGAAACTCTATGTCCGTCGTTCCGCCCATATCCCGGCTATGAACGAATAGATCGTCCAATTAACTCGGTGAGAAGTCTCGAACCCGTCTCAACAAATTTGTAACACATCTGTTGAATTTGGCATGGGCGTTGCTAGGCGCTTGTGGCATTACTTGCCACTCCCAGATCATACCGCTAGGATGCTTACCGTCATGTACGGCATGTATCGTTTACGCATTAGAATCTGATAGAATACATCCATCGTATCTATGGACGAATATACCGTACTCTTTGCCATACCATCTATGATTACGTCCTACCTCGGGAGAGGAGTCTGAGCTGGTATTGTTGCACCATTCAACTTGATGGATCGTGCAATATCCTCTATCCTTCCGTGAACTTGCGCACAGGAGTTCGGAGAGCTGTGAAGGGAAGTTTAATCCCTCTCGTGACCTGCAGCTAAGCGACCGGCAACGAACTTGTCTATCGCAAGTGCTTGTGCACGAGGCAGTGGCCACTGCTTTATGACACAGTACATCGAGCCTGTTTTGAGCTTAAGTTCATGTCGAGTGTATTTATCATGAGGCAACTCACATGGTACGGATTTAAAGAACACAACCTTAAATTCGATCAGATCTTGATGTAAAGGATTTGCCCGAATCAACTCCCAATATTGAGACGTGTATCCCTCAATCCGAGTCTTATCATCGAGTACATTTTTTTCCATCGGCAAGCTGCGGAGAACTCATTCGCTCTCTACAAATTCTAGTTCTGATCAAATTTCGGTCACGTTATCGTCCTCCATGACGAGTACACATCTTTGTCTGACTTTGCCACTACGCAGATCTCGCAAGGACCGAAACGGTACCCACGCAACGGTTCCTGCGTTGGTAGCTGAATGATCTCCGAAGTCAACTTCGAAGGCGCTATCAGATCAAGTGTATAATCGCCTAGCACTTGACCCGTCATTTACCACGATATCCAATGTCTCGGTTTATTTCTGAGAACCCTTTTACACGGGCTGATGGGGAACAATCTCCTCAGGATGATGAGGTATCGTTACCTCACTAATAAAGGCTTGAGAAGTTTCGTCTTCAAGTACTTTGGGACTTATTAAATAAACGTCTTCTAGATGCGATTGTGCTACCAAGGCTAGGTCCTACAAGATCGACTCTACAGCCTACATAGAATCATCGTTTTGCCCTGTGTGGGCAACTTTTTTCGTCTTATTCAGGTGTTGCCTGCTAGGCTTAAACCGATGTCCTTATCTACTCGGCTTGTTCGAGTGGTGAGACCTTCGGCTCTGCCTGAACATCTGCATAGCCGCCGGCATCTCCCTCAACAATGTGATTTGCTGTCTCACTGTGATCTTGTGCAGTCGTATAAACGACCGTACCGCAACTGGGGCCATCGAACATAATCGCTGTACATCCAAACGCTTGAGAACGCTCCAAGATGTTCTGCAGATGGCCATCTGAAAACAAGTGACAGGAATCTTCACGATTCGATGCTGCCAGGTGACCCTCGACTCGTAACTTCTGAGCCAGGGTAACCCTAGGATGACATCAAACTTATTATCCAAGTCAAGTACGATGAAATCATCATTGTACTGCAAATGTTTTAATGTGTAGTGAATTCCCACAATGCGTTTCGTCACTGGTATTGATTCGTCTTTTGCAAGGCGCACCATCATCCTCGTAGGAGGATTACCGCACTCAACGAACTTGAGCCTAAGATCTTCTAGCGACTGGCGACGAGCAAAGTTGCTCGGACACCCCACAACATTTACTAAGGCACGAATTAACAATTATTTTTCCACTTTTAATTTTATGGTGATGAGAAGTACCTCATCACCAAGTGCAGAGACACGCAATGGAGAAAATGTCATTTATTGAGTTGGAAATCCTATCAAGATTGCTATATCTGTAGAGCGCTTCGACCCTACTGATCGTTTGGATTGTGTTTGTGAAGATTTAGGGTCTTAAGGTTTGGCACGCCCTGACAAATTCGATTTGGCAAATGCAACTTGCATTTCCTCATCGTCGATGTGGCAAAAATTTGATGGCGTCGTCCATTTAGAGAAGCCATCTTAACGGGGAGTCTTCCTCGACTGCCCGGTACTGAAAGACCTCCAACTTTGAGTCTCGCGTTGGCGATTACAGAATGCTGCTGGTTGCTATCCTTTGAAAATATTAGTATTAGACAGCTTCTTTGCCAACGGTCGAGCTCATGCGTTCGAGTGCACTCCATTTGGCGTCACTCAAATAGGAGTAGCGTTCAAGGATGCCGTGAAAGGTGTAGTGCCTTCATCGTCTAACATGCTCATGTTGAACGGTTTGTGCTTCAATGCATGCCTGTTTAGCTGAGGTTTCGGTTATATGTTATCATGTTAATGTCACATTAAACTCCATTTCATATACTTTTAGGATGCACGCACCTTCAGATTGCCTGATTGTAAAAAAAAAATATGCACGCATTGCAACTTGTTCAGGTAGCTTACTTGGTCATCAGATGCTTGGCTAAATTTTCAGTACCACTCATAGATGTACATACATACGTAACCCCGCAAATTGCTGATCCGCCACGAAGCTTTGGGACCTGACAAACAGCTTAACCTTCTTCTCTGAGCCTTACGGAGTACGTCCAAACCCAGCTTGTCTTCTTGCCACCATTAATACTGGCAGCACTTTCTGCTTGCTGGGTGATGTTGTCGGCAAAGGCGACCGATGATGCAGTTTCTGGTTGCATCGGTTCGGTTTCCATTTTTACGGAACGATTTATATAAATAGGCCAGATGTAGAAAATATAAAAATGCTGAACAAGTATTCACTAGAGACCAACACAGGCCTCCCTAATCAGCAAAACGGGGGCTAATTTGGGACAAAGAGCTTGATAGAACACCCCAAACTAGCTATAAAATATACCATTTGGGCTTGTTGCAATGACAAAAATATCGGGAAAAAAAAATAAAAGAGACCAATGGGTCGTTGGTCCGACCTCGACCCGGACCAGCCAGGTCAAACACCGGGTCGACCTAATAAAACTGGTCCGGGTCGGAGGCCTAACTCCAGACATCAAGAGTATCATACTCATTCTGTAGTGACTGCTGTTGCACAGTGTTTTGTGACTTGATTCGGTTCTTCGAACTAAAAAATGAATTACTCAAATCAAAGGACGAGCCCCAAAGCTTGGTCCCCTATCTTAGCAGAGAAATAGCCAACATAGCCACCACCACCTTAATGTCGAATATACATAGCCATCACAAGCTATACTGCGCTGACGGGCTACTTCTGATCAGGACAAATCTGTCGAACGGAGTGGAAACACTGTCACCACACCATGGAGCTCGCGGGATGCAATCTGGCGTCGATTCAGTGAAAGCTGAAGCGCAGTCAGAATGCGCGGTTTGCCGTTGATCGAGTGGTGACCAACACCACAGATTAACAAACACCGACGGATACGGTGCGTCTGGCAATACTCGATTGCTTCGCGAGCCACCCAAAGTGCCTCCATCACGATCATACCATGCAGATCGATTGGCCGCTGGTGTCTACAGTGCAAATCAGGCAATGGACAAACACACAACTTAGTTAACGCGGATATAAGAGCCGTTCACAGCTGGTATAGTCTTAGCCAACTCACTTCAGATGCTCTTCGTGCAACAGAAAGTACTCGCGAGCCCATTGACGTTGAGCCTCGCGATGTTCACGACGCGCCTTGCTCAATCTGATTAGCAACGACAAATTGAGTTAGAAGTACTCCACTATTCGCCCCCACAACACAAAGACAACAAACACTCACTCTCGAATCCGCTCACTTGCAAGAACGTGTTGACCGCGTCTGAAAGACGCAAGAACGTCGCAGTAGCGATTGCTGAGTTTTTCTCTTGCTGCGTTGATCTTTTGCTTGCTAGAAACGAGCTTCCAGTCTTCAGCCTGGTCGCCTTGACGCAACTTGCAACTGGTCTTCGCAGCAGCAATTTGCTCAGCTTCTGCGGCAGCAGCAGCCATTTCCATTTCCTCCACTACACTTGGTGGAGGAGGTACGTGCTTTCCTGCCAGCGGTAAGTTGTACACTTCACGCAGAGCTGCCTCAGTTGCATCCGAGCTACACCCGTTCAGAATGAAAGTCTGTCCACACAAGACAAAATCGACAAAGAAAACACAATCACCACACGACATCTTCTCGCACAACTCAAACAACCTCGTGATGACAGCATACAGTGTGGATGACACTGCTACTGACGCTCGGCAGTAGCTTCTCAAGCCGCTCGAGTTTTAGCTGCGTCGTAATGCTTGACTCGAGACGGTAATGATGATTCCACACACTGTTCGCTGCCACTCCATTGCCCTCGCTTACGTACTTGCGCACCGGCAGCGTCGGGAACGCTATCGATAAAGGCAAAGGTTTCGGCGGCGGTCGTTCCTGCAGCCGCACTTGGATCGTCGCTTGTCTCCTGCTTCGCTGCTGCTGCTGCTTCAGCTGCTGTTTCGACACGCCGTTTTTTCCGTCTATTGCTAGTGCTGGAAAATGTCCGAGCGACTCCACGTTCGGTCCATTGACCACCAGGTCCCGATGTCGCGCCGCCGCACGAGCGTCTGCACTCACGACTGTCGCATAGCTCTGGACATGATCGAGCGCCTGCAGATGCTGCAGCGCTTCGGCTGCTTTGTTCACGTCGTACTTGTACCGGTCCAGCACGTCTTCCACCACGTCCGCCTTATAGTCTGGAAACAGCCCAAGCAGCAGCTGCAGCGGATGCACGTCGTCGTCCCCTTCCACTTCAACGTTGCCGCCACATCTTCCGTCTTCCCAGTTGCTCTCTCCTTCGTCGAGACTGAGCAACAACTGCTGGACAAAAGCTCCGTCTGTAGCCAGGATATCGTCTCGCTCCCTAGCAGGCAATTGCTGCAGCGCGGCGATGAAAGAGCTGTCGTCGTCCAGTCCCAAGCTACTGCAGAGTTCGTGGAGCTGAAGCGTCGCGTTTTTTCGTCGCTCTTCAAGTGTCTTTTGCTCTTGTTCCCGCATCGTCTTGATCGCCACTAGACTTAAAACGTCGTCGACGGCTCGTGAAATGTCGCCGTCACACGCTTGAAGAGCACGGAATACTTCAGCTCGCGTTACTTTAGGCGACCCTTGCACCCCGTCCGCGTCGAATGGAGCAGTCATTTCGAGCACCACGTCCACACTAGGCGTCGCACTCAGCGCATCGATTCCTTCAAGGCAGGAGTCTCCACAGACCGTCGACGGAAGCGAAGACGGTGACAAGCACGACGCAGAAGGGGCGGCGTTCGACGACTCGATCATACTATAGCCTCGGGTTCGTAACTGCACGAACAACAGCGACCGCTCGAGCCGCGCGGGATCAGATTGTCGTGCACATGTACCGCTAGCATGGTACACTCACGTCCACCACACCATGTAGCAAATAAATGTTGTTTCTGTGATCGAGCTTCGATCCTTACGTTGCGCCATGAAGTACCGCGCGTACGCTTACTTCACCACATCTTCCACACACAAGCGACATGAGCAGCGAGAACGGCCGCGTCGTCATGATCGTGCGCGCCGCTTCGCCCCGTCGCGAGAGCAACGAGCGTCTAGACATCGCAGCCAATACCGAGCAGCCGCTCGCGCTCTCCCTCGGTGTAATGGAGGCCGATTGGCGGCAGCAGCAGTTCCAGCGCCAGCGCATGCAGCTCCTCAGTATGGCGATTTTCCTCTGTTTTCTCGTGCTTTTCTTCGACAACCGCGCCGGCGACCTCCGGACCAACGGCAAAAGTAGCAGCAGCAGTCGAAGTGGCACAACCACTACAGTTACTTCAGAGAGTAACACCAGTCGCTCGTCGAGTTCGACGCACCCGGTGCGGAACCGCTATGCACTGCCTCTAAACGCATTTAACGACACGGACCGCATGCAGAAAGTCGAAGAGCTGGAGCGTCTGCTTCAGGTGCAAGCGGGTTACCGAGACAAGGAGCCACCCTTGAATGTGACGGGTATTTACTCTGGCACGTGGGACGCGCTGCGGCCGGAAGATTACGACGCGTCCAAGTATCAGTTCCAGGACATTGTCCCGTACTTGAAAGTCGATCGTGCCATTCAGTTGCAGCAGTACACGCAGCCCGTGGAGACGGGGCACACGTGGCTGTTTCTCAAGATGAAGGTGCCTGCGTCAAAAGAGTTAATGAACGAGGTAGCCTACGTGACGGGGCAGCTGGTGATTTACGAAGAACAGGCATCACTTGCAGCAACCATTCTTCCCGTACAGGGTGTGTTTTTACGAAACTTAGGCACATTGACACTGTTCGGCAACAGTCCGGACTCGAGTGTGCAGATTCTGTATCGGAGAGAGGATGGTGGATGGATAAACGGGACGCAGAGGGAGACGGGTATGCTTGCTGCCGGGTTGGAGGATGCGGAGGAAGAGAGCGTTGTAAAGGAGGATGCAGATGGGAAGGTGGATTCGGAAAGCTTGCCACGGCAACCTAGAGCTGAGCTCATGAATGTCGGGTTGCTAGATGGTGTGCCGACTGTCGAGAATCGAGATGAGTATGCGGCAATTGATATTTCGCCGCCACGGCATTCGTTTGTGTCGCGGTTCCGAAGCAGCGACTCGTTTAGTGACCAGTGCGTGAGCATTATTGAAATGACGTTGGTGAATGATACGAGTAAACCTGTGGGGAAGGAAGGAGAGGTTGATGAGAAGGACGATGCAGCAACAGCGTTGCAAAAGTCGATGCGCCATATGAGGCTAGAAGGAACGCTAGCTAGTGTGAATTGCGGACTGTATTTGAAGCTGGACACGACATTTCAGGAGGAGAATCTGAATGTGTTTTTCGCCAAGGCATCTCGTTACGCTGTGATCATGACGTTTGTAGCAATGGCCGAAATTTATTTTCTGCTGCGACAGTTGCAAGTATCGAGCACACAAGCTACAGCGGCAAAGGTGTCGTTGTTGACAATCGGACAGCAGGCAATCGTGGACTCATACTTGTGTTTAGGCCACTTGACCTTGGGCATTGTGGCGCAAAACGTGTTTGCCGCATTCGCTTCTGTCGCGTTTGTGAAGCTTATTATTTTCTCGGTGTTCGAGATGCGATATCTGCTCATCATCTGGAAAGCGCGAAGACCCCAGGGTTTTTCCGAAGGCTGGCTCACGCTTCGCCGTGAGCTCACGACGCTTTACTCGCGTTTTTACCTCACCTTGCTGGTCGGGCTCTGCATTTTTTACAACTTCTCGGTAAGATCAGCAGTGAGCTCATATCCTTTTGATATTTGTGCAACTCACGTGTTTTCTTTTACTGCAGAACCACTTGCCTGTGCTAGTGTTTGTCTGCTACTCCTTTTGGGTCCCCCAGATCGTTCACAATGTCCATAAGTATGTGTGGAGGTGGTGCTTTTTGCGACCAGCGAGCCTTGACAATTGTTGTTATGCAATGCAAATTACAGGGAGGTGCGAAACGCGTTTGATTTGGGATACCTGTATGGCATCAGCGCACTACGCTTGTTCTTGCCGCTATACTTCTATGGCTGCCCAAACAACTTTCTTACAGCCTTTCCCATGGTAAGAATACAGCGTGTCGCAAATGTCATCAGCAAGTACTTGTTGTTATGGAGGACTGATGTTATGATTGAAATTTGTGTGAATTAATGTTGTAAAGTATGAGCGCAAGATGAGCCCACACTTTTGCTACGTACTGACAGCGTGGGTGGGTCTGCAAGTGGGTATTTTATCGCTGCAGCAGAGATATGGCCCCAGATTCTTCATCCCTGCACGATTTCTGCCCGTCAAGTACAATTACGAACGGCGGATTGATCTGCAGCAGCTGACACTGCTAAAGGGCGGTGACGATTCTATCGACTGTGTGATTTGTATGGTCGAGCTTGACATTGAAGCGCGTGACTATATGATTGCGCCGTGCGATCACATTTTCCATTGCGAATGCCTGCAGGGCTGGATGGAAGTCAAGATGGAGTGTCCAACATGTCGGCATGTCCTCCCTGAGCCTTAAGCTGTGGTGAGCCCTTTGTGGTGACTGGTTATTCGAGAAACAAAGAGCGGGGCTTTTGTTTGGCGATGGGAACGAAGGACAATTTACTCGACGGGTTCTGGTGGCAGTCAACGTTTTGGCTACCTGTCAGCAAAGGGTCAATTAAAAGGGCGCGGTATTGCGGTCTGCACGGAGTGTAGCACGTCTGCATAAGCGTTACGTCGCGCTTATGTTGCTACTGTCCACGGCCACTATCCTGCAGGTACCGCTTGATCTTTGGTGATTACGTGGACAGTTTACTCTCCAGGTCATAATGATATGACCACCCACATTGATGTTCATAACTCCATAACTAGTGCGAGTTAGACGCGGTCGCTTGAGTATGATATGCGTAAAGTTTTGATCTACCCCTCTGCAGTGTTAAAAATCCGATAATTTGAATCGATCTCAGCTCACGTGCAAAAAACAACTTTTGTGCTCGACAAAAAGTATACGGCCACACCGAGCATGCAAATGTCGAGCGTAAGAGACTGCATGTTGCTTTTCCAAACGCGTAAAGCATTGTCGCGGGAGCGTAGTTTCGCGCGCTTGTCGGCGCAAGCACGAACACCTACGTTGTGCGCGATTATGATTCAGCTACTCTCGTTGCTATAGCATACTTTTCCTTAGTCAATTGCGTCAAGAATGCCGGGTATGCTTTGTTCGCTTCAACTTACTTCGTGTTCCTTTCAAATTTCAAGTATTAAAGAATGTATGATGATCGTGAGTATTCAGCAAACATTTTTTATACTCGGCATTTGTATGCTCGGTGTGGCCGTATTCTTTTTGCCGAGCACAAAAATCGTTTCTTTGCATGTGAGCTATGAGATCGATTCAAATTATCGGAATTTTAACACTGTAGAGGGGTAGATCAAAGCTTTGTGCATATCATATCCAAACGACCGCGTCTAACTCGCACTAGTTATGGAGTTATGAGTACCTATGTGGGTGACTGAATCATTATGACCTGGAGTGTAAGACATTCTGTGTGCCACTTGCGTCCACTAGGTTACTTTTATAAGAGAGAGACGATTGTATTTGTCAATTATATCACGTGACAGCCCAGAATACCAAATACTGTGTATCCTCACCACTTTTGGCTCGCCCTATATTCCTATACGAGAGCACAAACCTCTCGAATCAATTTAGACCTCTCTCCCAACTGTCACGTCACTCTTTTGAAACACCTCCATTTACTCATTCTAACATTCCTCAATGGAAGTGCTCGACGACGCCAACGCCTTGCTGGCTCCTCTTCCCTTCGTCCTTCACCTCTGCTCGCTCTCGGAACTACAGCACTTGTCTCAAGTATCACGCAATATATCAGATGTGTGTGAACTCGAGTGGCGTCTGCGCACCCTAGCGCGCTTCGGGACGCTACGCTTTGTCACGGACCAATGGCGTCGCTGCTATCTGCTCCGCGCACAGTTTCGGTGCAAAGCGGTGGAACAAGTGACGGCACGGGTTTATCTTATGAATAATCGGGGGGAAACGAGGTTTTTTACAACCGAGAGAGGGACCCCTCTCATGTGTTCGCGCGAGCGAGCTCTGGTGTATAGCCGGTGCAAGCGGATGTTTGACCTCTCATTAAGAATAAACCGGTCCATCCAAGAACTCTCGACGTTAATTGGCATGGTCTCGGTCGACGAAGCACGTGGTCTATTGGATGAACATATCAGTCTCATGGCTTCTGTTGCAGCACTGAAAAGCTCGCTCCATTTCGAGAGTGAACTCTTTCAACTTGTCCCGGCGCCGATATTATTGGATACGAACTCGCTATTGCGAGTCAACTACAGATTTGAAGCCCAAGAAGATGCCGAGTTTCTACAGTCCTCGCTGATCATGATGCAAGTCTGGGCATCGATTGATGGGCTCATTTATCGACCGTTGGCGCCACCGGCTACGATTCAGCCAACAACTCGTATCATCCAGAGTCAGCACATTGGAGAGAACGTGGAGGAAGTGATGGCTTACTCGTCAATGAAGCTTCATGAACTGTCAGGGATGACAGTGAATATCGATGATAATACGTTGCGGTACAGACTGCAGGGAGACGAAATGTGTGTCAATGCTTTGGTGAGCAACACGTACTTGCTCTATCTGTTCAATCCGCTGCAGTATCGTCCGTCAGATTGGACATTCGAGGCAATGCTTCAGGTTGGTGAGACGACATACGTTCTGCCTGTGCAGAGAGAAGGTGTGTTTCTGAATGCTACGTCCCATGCACTGAGGATCTTTCTTTCTTATGGTAAGCTGCCAGACAAGTCAACTTCACGGTTGCCAACGAAGAAAATGTCGATTGACGACCAAGAGCAACAGAGTGAGTCAGCGGGAGTGGCCGGTGCAACTACAGAAGATCCTCTACTTGATGGTGCTCGTGGAGCTGAGGACAGCAAGCCGCTGGAAATCCCATACGAAGGACAACACGAGATTTTCGCGTTCCACCTGACTGCAACAAACCGAATCTCGAAGAAAACGTGCGTCGTGGCGTCTAAAGCGACGTATCTGTCGCTAGTACCACCACCCAGTGATACAGTGACTGGTGGTTCACGTCTTGGACAACAGACTGTCGAAGTGTCAACAACGATGTCTAACGACTCGATACGAGGAGACGAAGAGGATGATAGCAATACCTCTGCAACATCACATGGTGGTATAGTGGCGCTGGAGCGACACGTGCACCTCCCTTCCGACGCCATGATCTGCTACTATTTTGCTCCGAGTTGTTGTCTCCAGTATGTGGAGTTTGCAATTGGGTTCGAGCCGTTAATGCACCTTCTTGGTGTTGCCAAGTTCCTGTCCGATACGTTGGTTTCTTGCTAGCTGACGATAACTGAGATCGGTGGATGGAAGAAAAGGCGACGAGAACCTGCTTGGCAGTATTTATACAAGCATGAAAACAACTAAATGTGTAAAATTGAAATCAGCATTGTGCACTTCCGACATCTTTCCATGGTTAGCTGTACTTCCTGGTGCGAAGAGTGCGCTGGCGCCTGCTCCTCCAGACGAGAAAACCAACAACTAGAGCTCCTGCTAAAGCTGCGATACCGCCATATCTCTTTGCTTTCTTCCAAATTCGCATCGCGATGCGCACTGGGATCGGAGGTGGATAGTACGGCGCCACTGAAGGTGTGCGTTCCGGATGACAAGTGTTATACTCGATCAGCATGCCTTTGACAATGTTCATGCCCCGATAGTAAATGCACACACGTCCATGCTTGCCCCCTTCATCAGTAATGTCCATCACAGCGTACTGGCCTGATCCAGCAAACGCACCATGACTGTAAGGTCCGCCTTTGATTGACCCTGGACGTCCTAACGCGGCAGCATGGAGTACCGTCAGGTTTCCGGGGCTATGGCGTCCATCGTCCACTGCCAACATGTGTGCGTCTCCACTCACAATGACAATCGGAACCCATTTGTTAAGGCCGTGAGCCTTGATATAATTCACCAGCTCCTGCTGCTCGTGAACAAACTGCCCCCATTTTCGCTCATCGTCCAGCCACGGCATCGTATTGACCCAGACAATCAGTCGAACATCCGGGTCACTCGTCGCACGAACGAGCTCCGACTTGAACCACGCCTTCTGCTTTTTGCCCAGCACTGTCTTGGTCGGCGCAGCAGGAGCTTTATTTGGCGTTCGAGCAGATCGTAGATCCGTAAGGATGTAGCGTACTCGACCAATCGTAAAAGCTTGGTGCACTGTACTTGTCCGTGAACGTCCTCCCACTAACGGATAGTGCGGGACAAATTCACGATAAGCTTGCACTGAAGCGTTTCGACCAGGAGCAGTCGAGTCACTATTGTCCGGACCAAAATCATGGTCGTCCCACATGTACGCGAACGGCAGATCCATCGCCAACATAGCTTCTCCAGCAGGCGAGGCAAAGATCGAGTCGTACCCGTCTCGGAATGCAGCGACATCGTTCACTACCAGGTTATGGTAGTGCAGATCTCCCGTGTGCATGAACAACAGTGCCTTCTCGTTCTTGATGGCTTCAAAGACCTGTCAAACAACACACCAGAACGCAAAAGAACACAGCAAACAAGCAGTCCCTTTCCATAAGAACTAACGCCACAGAACACCCCACCAAGGACCAGCAGCTTCGCTTACCCGTGGGTCCGACTGTTCGTCAGCACAGGAAGCAAAAGCCACGCGGTAATTGTAAGCCGCGCCTTCTCTTTTGGGGGTTCGGAATCGCCCACTTCTGGCGACTGTTCCCGATTGGACCAGCGTCAGTTCGTAGCGATACTCTCGATCACGATGTGGGAGTGCGGACAGGTTACACTGCTGCACGTGCGGTGTCTCGTACGACGACGGACTCCGCTCTTCTCCCTCACCCGCTTCTCCTCCGTCGACTCCACTGCACATCGCAATAGCAGAGTGCGGTCTCTCGTTTTCCAGCAACTCGGGGAACGCGTACAGCACGAAATCGGCATCTGCACAAGTGTAACCCTCGCGTAACCCGAACTTGAACGTGATGGATCGGGACGTCAGTGCGCCACTCCACAGCCACAACACATCGGAAGGTTCACAAGGAGCGTCTGTAGCTTGTGTATGGGTAGACACAGAGACTGCACTGGTCCCTGACAGCACAAAGAGCGACGCTAGAAGGCGCCAAAGCTGCAGCTGCTGCATCGCTAATCAAAGATCGCAAATGTCAATGGGTACGAAACGCCCTCAACTTGCAACGTCAGACAGGGGAGTCCAAGAGTAATATTCTTATGTGGACGATCCAGTGCCAACGTTTATTTTTGCTGAATCGAGTAATGTTGCGCAACTCAAGATGAAGTTGCAGCTACAATTTCTTCTGTTGCGCCTTAATCGCAGCGTCTCATGTAGAAATAAGCAGGATACGCTTATTGATGAACCAGCAGGGCATCAAACGCAAGTCGATTCTGCCGAAAAAAAAGCAGAACTTGGCTTCGGACCTGGGTAAAAAAAAACAAAAGAAACCACAAAGTTGGAAAAGTTAGACATGGCTGCATTGTGCGTATGGCTACACATGCATGGATACATGAACGCACCGTCTCAAGTTCAGGCTCAGCAACACATTGATCAAGCTGGAAGTGGAACTGGAACACGTGCTCCAGTGCTTCAGTCATCACTGCTAGACGGCGTCGAAGCTGTTGAAACTAAATACAGAAAAAGCACGAGCTATGAGAACACAAGCACACAAAAGATGCTGCAAGAACCAGCAGCACAATTCACAACTTGCCTCTTGTCGCTTGACTGCAATGTCGTGCATCGCAGTAGCTCGGTTCTTGTTCGCGTGATGACCACGTTTCAAGTTGTCTGCACGTAGAACTTGAAGCTGAAAACTACTCGTGAGCTGGATCGACAGTGTGTTATCAACAACGATGCGAAACTCACCTGCCGTTCGGCTTTGTCAGCCTCAGATCGAAGCTGATCACGCTCGTCCAGCTTCGCCTATACACACTGCAACGTCAATTGTATGCATGTGAAAAGAAGAATACTGAACGGTGTATGTACCGACCTCGAAGAGCTTCAGCTCCGCAAGCTTTTGCCTGGTTTGTTGAGCGACCTTGTGCTCCAGGACGTTCTACACAGAGCCAGAAAAGTAAGAATACGCCACAGTGCTGATGCAATCCATAGACATCTGCACCTTCATCGTCTCGGTGGCTACAAAGCTAACAGACAGACTTGAAGAGAATTCGGACGAGGACGCTGGTAACTTGGCCAGATCCTCGATCACTTCTCGCAAGCACGTTGTACTCGCGTGAAACTGGTCAAGTCCACGAAGAAGTTGCTCGCGGTGCTCAGCAACACATTTCAAGTGGTCTTGTAATCTGGTGAATCCTGCTTTCAATCGCTTGTACCGCGCTTCGCCCACTTCGGCCGCAGTAAGTTTCGGAACTGCTCCATTGCCACTAACTTTGCTGCGAGCACTTCGACGCAGCTTGCGCACAGCATCAATCACGGTTTGTGGTAGTGTTGCTATGATGGAGGTCTTCTTTTCCTCCGACGTCATCATTGCAAAACCTCCATCGTCAAAACCTGCTTCGTGCTTGTCTCTGATATACTGAGCAGCCATTGCATTGTCGACGTGGAGGTGCGCAAGACTCAGCAACTGCTCGATACCAGTTTGTGACGCCATCAACTGAATGTTTGCGGCTGACAGGGACGTCAAAGCTTTACTGTCTAGCGAAGTAGTAGCGTCGGAATTCTTGCATTGTGGTGACGTCAAGACTGCAAGGGAGGACGGCACTTGCTTGCTTTCCATCCCGTTCGGGTCTGGAAATGCGAAATGCTCACAGCGACAACCGTCTGAGAGAGAATAAGAAGACAGGACTGACTTGCCATGACTCGCGAATGTGAGTGCCTGGCGTTCAGACGTCCACCATGCAAGACAATCTATGTGCAAAATTCGTCCAGAAACGTGAAATGCGGAGCCACTTCGTCGACAGGTAGATGCAGCTGTTCAGCTAGAACCTCGATCTTTCGCTTACTTGAAGTAACTTGCGACCCATTCACCCCACTTGTGGATGATAGGCACTGAAAAACATCCGCGTGATCGAGACACCAGCTGTGGGCCTTACTAGCGATAGTTCGCATTTCTTGGCGACTGCGTTCAAGAGCTTCCGCTGTCCGTGGCCGTCGATCCCGGCTCAGTCGTACGTTCGTTTGCTCTTTCGGTAAGAAGTGTTTCTTGATAAACGAGTGCTCCAGTAGAATCGCTGCAGGGGGTCGATACATCGGGTTTTTCTGTAAGCACTGGTCCAGGAAATCGCAAAGTTCCGGAGAAAAACGATCGTCATAGTCTTGTAGTCGCGGAGAGGGCTGCTCCTGCACAGCCTGTACAACACCCCAGTAGCCTTCTTTCGACGGAACAGGCAGTTTTCCGATGGCACAAGCCATAATCGCGAGTCCGAAAGACCAGATATCGGAGGGATACGAGTACGTGCCTCCACTAATTCTTTCAGGTGCCATGTACCTGACAGAAGTTTGCAATGTTAGCTTATGTATATCTCTATTGGAACAGTCAAGACAAACTCGACTTACAAAAGCGTGCCTGTGAATGTCGTCGCCTTCGCCAAGGTACTTTCGAGGTCGCGAGAGATACCGAAGTCCGATATCTATATTTCAATGACAAAAGCTTAGCAATTATTGTACAGAATCGGGGTGGAGCATTGCGCACGACACATGTGCTTACCTTGACTTGACCTTGGTAGTTGATGAGCATGTTGCTAAGTTTGATATCTCGGTGCAACTGGTGGTGCTCATGCAAAAAAGCTAGTCCTTTTAACCCGCACGCAGCAACGTTCGCAATCTCCTTTTCGGACAAGCAGCCCTCTTTTCTTCCATCTCCATTGATAGCAGACTGCACGTAATCTTCTAGCGATCCTCCATCCATGTACTCCAAGACGATCGATACAGAACCCAGCTCGGGGTTGGTGTATGCGTCGTAGAAAATAACAAGCTCTTCACATGCTGCTCGAGCAACAGATGACGTTGCCGCGGAAGTAGATGGGAAGGCAGCAGAGGCGAGCGGTACAAAGTTTACGTACAGCGACTTGAGCTCACGCACCATTTGATGGCGCTTCTTTTGGTCGTGCACTCGAATGATCTTAACAGCCACCAGCATGAACGTCGGCATGTACAGCGCCTTATATACCTTTCCACCAGCTCCATGTCCAAGCTCCTCAAGCATTAACAAATACTCTTTCGTACTGATTGCATCTGCGCTGGATCTAGACTTTTTCTCGTTCGCTTGGTACTGTTGAGAGCTTGCAAAAGGCACATTGGCAATACCACGTGTCTACAATAAGCAAAGATTAGTGACAAACTATCAGTCGATAAATTGTGCATACCAAGGACCGTCTCACATCGATCTCGAAGCCTTGTGTCTGCAGCGTGCCAGTTGCAGAGAAATCAAACGAAGCTGCCACTGTCTTCTCGTCACATTTGACCAGTGCAAGATCGAGACCCAACATCTGCCTACCTCCACGACCTCTTTTTACAACGCCAACGGCATCACCACTAGCACCATCAGTCACGTCAATCTTCAACGGCTTCAACCCAAGAGAGCCCAGACCGAATCCACGTCTGGGAGGTGGTGGCGCGACTCCAGACTCCACATCCACACGCACATCAAAGCCAATAGGACGTCTAGAGTTTCCAGTACCCTGTATCGGTGGCAAAGGTACTGCTTCAGAGGCAATCACACGTTTACAAGGTGAACGCGCCACAACACTCTGCAGTTTGAGCACTTCCCGCAGCAATTTCTTCTTGTGACCGCGACTGACGCCCGCTGCAGCCTCCACGAATGCGTGTGCACCATCCAATGACCGCAACATCTCTCCTGTAAGTTTTTGTCGTTGCGCTTCGTCTACAAACAGCCCTAAATCATGCGCTTCGAGCCAGTCGCACACGTCACAGATTTTCCATTCGGCTACGTCGAGACTTGGGTTCGCTTCGGTTTCAGCTTTTTCAACTTTCGGGATTCGACTTCGTGGTATTTGCTGTCGTTCGTGAAATTGCAATTTCCCTTTTCGGTGCCGGTGCGTGTCACAGGTGGCACAATACTGGAGTCCACAGTCGTCGCAGCTGAATTCCGCCCTTTTTTGCTCGCACTCGTCGCAGTTTTTGGACGCGATTGAAGGTGGACACTTACGACCGGATTGAGTGTCACGGAGATGTAGTGCCTCGAGTTCGCCCGTATCCACATCGCAGTCGTGGGGGGCAGTCCGAGATATCTTCATGTTTGAAACTTTGAGATATCTGAATCTCGAGGCACGTCGACTGCAATCGGTCCCTTTTACCCGCAAGAGCCAAAAGACCCACGGCTTTCCCTCATTTCTACAGTCTGTTTGCGTCAGGGACGTAGCTGCACGAGTGTTTCAGATCTGAGAAAGCTACAAAAGTTTCAAAGAAAGATAGCGGAGGCTAAAGTCAGGCAGTCCCGCCGCAATGATTACGGATCGAAGACGACATGAGAAGAACCCATCACTCAATCGACGCCGGTTTTATGCACAGAAGCCTTTCTGCCGATACCGATCCAGCATAGATACAAACAAGCAAACGCATAGCCGCGTTCTGTGTATACATTCTAATTAAAGGATACGCTCTAAATCCGGAAAGTACCCTATCCAGCCATATCCCAATTCTGATTCTGCGACTCAATCCGAAGTCTGACATGCTATTCGTTCTCTTCGTCGCAGCGGCGATTTCCAGGACTCTAGCAGCCATGGACGACAAGTTTCATGCCGATTCTCCTTCGTCTGCATCTCCTCTATCCCGACGTGGTTTCTGGATCCTTCTAGGCATTGTCCTCGTCGCGTTACTGTTCATTTCGTTCGCACTGGCAAATACCGTAGCCTGGTACCTTCAATTACGTCGAAACGACCGTATCCGACGTAAAACCGACGAATTAGCAGCTAAATCGGAGCACAGCAAACGCGGAAGTAATACTGACCTCGCTAAAACACTGTCTCCTGTGCCAGTAACCATATTAACTGGCTTTTTAGGCGCCGGGAAAACGACGTTATTGAACCGGATCCTGCTGGCGGAAAAAGCGCTTTTACTGCCGTATCAGAACATTCTGGTCCTAGAAAATGAGCTCGGGGCTGTGAGTATCGACCACGCGTTACTTCAGGACGGCAATAAGTACAAGGACAAGGACAAAAACAGTATCTACGTGCTCAAGAATGGCTGCATGTGCTGCTGTCTCGCTCAAGGTGGCAAAGGCTCGGGTGGTGACGAGCTTGAACGTATTTTGGACCATTTATTGGACCTCGTAAACGAGCGGCAATTTGAGTATTTAATTGTGGAAACCTCGGGCTTAGCAGATCCAGGACCGATTATTGAAACATTTCTGAAATTACGCGCGTCGAGATTTCGACTGGATGCTGTTGTGACAATTGTGGATGCAAAAGCGACGCAGCGGTACTGGGATGAGGACAAGGAGAGGTTTGTATTTCCAATTGAGTTGCAGCGCCAATTGTTGTATGCCGATGTGGTCGTGATGAATAAAATGGACATGGCTACACAAGAAGAGTATGCAAGACTCGAGACGGCACAGATGGAGATGAATCAGGAAGCGACAATTTGTAGCTGCATTGATGCGAACGTCGATATGACCAAGATCCTGAATGTCGAGACTTTTGACGCAGTGCGGTTCCAGAAGCAGAGTTCCTCTGCTTCTACTGAGCAAGGCGAACCAGGTGTGCAGGCGCGGGGGATGCATACCGGGGGCATTGTAACGATGCACTTCGAGACGGAACGCGATGTGGACGTTGCTGCATTTGGTGAATGGCTTTCGGACGTTGTCATGCGGTATGTAAAAGGAGCTGACGTACTGCGTGTGAAGGGCATTCTCGCTGTCACGGGAGATGCTCGGGATCGTCGCTGTGTCGTGCAAGGAGTGCTGGACACATACACGATTGCACCTGGATCGGTGTGGGAGGCTGACGAGCAGCGCATTTCCCGTCTTGTACTCATTGGTCAGGGGTTTGATCAGGCTGAACTTGACCGCGGCTTTCACAGCTGTCTGGTGCGTGATAGCAGCAACAACGCTGACGGATCAGAGCAGGAGGAAAAGGGCGCCTAAAAGAGGATGTCGTCTTCACTCGGTGATGTTCGGTCAGGAAGTCAGTCATGCAGGTACCAGACGTGGTGTCGCAAGAAGAAGTAAAAGCAAAGTGCTGCTTGGCAGTTATTAATTCGAGCATCTTACTGACATACACTTGAAATCAATCTGCAGTTGTAACCGTGTTCATGTGCTCAGGACGTGACAGGCTACACAACGTTGCACCCATCAAGAGGTCATGCCAATATGTTGTGGTTGTTGCCTTCATCGCAGGTATCGATCGACCGTTCCTACACAGTGAGGTCAAATTGCTTGATGAACCCCCTGAGCGCCTCGTGAATCTCGTCGTTGAACGGCTGCGACCTCATGCGAGCTGTCCAAGCACACACCTTCGGGTACTTTGAGAACTCGTACCCCATGACCTCGAGCTGGTCGATCTCGCAGTACGCCGTGTAGTCAGCGATCGTGGGGAAGTCAGTGTGCGCGATGAAATCCTTGACCAAGAACGTCTCGAGCAAGCCAAACACCCTTTCGATGAGAGCATCCTTCTTTTCAAGTGCAGCCAAGTCCGCGGGCGAAGCGCTATTGAGCTTCTTGAAGAACTCGGGACGCAACAAGTTGATCGTCAAGAGTCTCGTGTTGGTGTGGTGCCAATGCAGGAACTCGTTGATCTTGGCGCGCACCTTCAGATCCTTCGGGTACAGATCTTTGGGGCCGGTCCATTCGTGCTTGTCGCACAAGTACTGCAAGATGGCCAAGCCTTCCGCAAGCACAAAGCCATCATCTTTGATGACCGGCACGAGCCGATTGGGGTTCATGGCGTGAAACTCGTCCGACTTGATGAAATCAGTGCCTGGGTTCACAGTCACAAGGTCGTAATCCACACCCTTCACCTTGAGCACCCACGCCACAGAACGTGACGGCTGACTGACGAGGTTGGCGTAAAGCGTGAGAGTCATGACGGACAAGTGCTTGAACTCGAGATGGCAAATTCAGGAATGAAGTGCATCCGCTCTCTCGCTCTTGACGGGCGGAAGCAGGACGCAGCACGCCAAGAGAGGTTACAATTCTTTCCGGGAAGCTCCACCCTTAAAAGATCGCTGCAGAAACGGCGACGGTTCGTAGACAGACACCCCACATCGCATCTCATGATGGCAGAGTGCGATAGTGGGTTGCAAGCACCATCCTGTTTTATCGCGAAACGCACGCTGCAAAGTGATCGAAGTGTACTGCGAGTTCAGCTGGAGCCGGTATCCACTGGACCCATTCGGCCGTTCAAACCATCACTGGGTTGAAGCTTTCCAGCTTTGTTGAAATACCGACACGCAAACAGCGTCTTGCATCTTGCAAGAACTTGTCGAGGTCTTCGTGCACGTCGTCGTGAATGGAGTTATCTGGTACGATAGATGCACTTACACAGTCGGGGTTGCAACAGTAAGTGGAGCTGCTGGCTGGACCAACAACCACTTCTCGCAGAGCAGCTGTGATGTCTCCTCGACCTTTCAACTAAGACGATCGTCTTTGTCGACTTGGCAAAGTCGTGGCTCGACAATTCCAGCTGATCGACATCACATGATGCAGCACAGTCGGTGACGATCCGTGCGTCAGTGACTGCGCTGCATTCTGCATTGAGAACAACCGAGTGTCGATGTAGTCAGTCACACTGCAGACACTCGTCCACCTTGGCAGGTGGCTGGCATCTAGTTGTGGGCGCTGTGGGTCAGTGCCGTGTGTGGGTTTTGTTGCAGTCGAACGTTGGGTGGACACCGTCTCCTTAAAGAGCGAGAGGGTGTTGTCGCGTAGCATTCAAATCGAGCGCAGTGGGGTGCTATGACTAGAGCTTGATCTACTCGATACGCGCAACTCCTGTACCCGCGTTCACGGACTCGTCGTCACCCGTGCAGCAGCAATTGCGAGCATGAGACATCACCTGAAACAAAACCTACGACACCAGCAGAGCAAATGTAGCTGCTCGTATCTTGCCTGCGCAACTAGGCTGACTCACCAGATGGGCGTGTTATTAGATGGATTCCTCTGGAAATTTGGCGAGGCGGCCGAGTCATCATCGATATCTCTGGCTGCTGCAATAGCATCATTGATATCACTAGTTGCTGCTGAGCCTTCGTATGATTTGCAATGGTGTGAGACATCGGCCAGCTCCAGCCTACCATAGCTGGACCAAGAAGTTTGGCGAGCGAATGTGTTTGTGATCTGCTTGCTTCTAGCGGACGAATTGGGCTCTGGTTGGCCTGTACTTGACACTCAGCACTCTGTCGTGATGGAGTGAAAGCACCCCATCCTCATCATTACAGCGGTATTTGCTTCGGAAGACGGTCGTTGCCTGCTGCAAAGGTCTTTCAGCATACTAAACGTCAAGACACAGTCGGTGATGGAGAAAACAACTGTCTGTGCATGCCAACAAACACGTTGTCTTGCTTACCGTTTCCGCTACAGCTGTCTAAGACAAGTCGTCGGTCTAGCGTTTCCACGTCGTACTCTTTGATTCCGACAGCTCGAATGGAAACAGCGGTGCACGTGGAACGACCGAGAGTCCACGACATGTGTGCACCGATATTTTGGCCTGATTCAGCGTCCTTTGCGATGCTGAAGTGCCATCGAGGTCCATGGCGGTCACGGAGAGCCACCCAAAGCCTGGCAATTCCAGCTCCACTACAGTCGTGCGCTTGGGCTTCTTGTGCTTGGATTTCGTGAGCACACTGTCGAGCACGTAGTCTTTCAAGTAAACATTCTGCGAGAGCGTGAGCGGACCAGTGAAACTCATGGCATCGAGACCACGCGGAGGTGAAAGGATCCCACCGGCGTGCTTGATGAACGTGTCTTCGGCACCTGTCATGATGCAGAAAGTCGTGATACAAGGTACAATACACATTAGTCAAACGTACGTTGCTCAACTCCAGAAAGCAAACTTACGTTCAGTGCTCGTGAGGTGGCCGGGTAGCACACCATACCACGACAACAGCATGATGTTCTTCTTGCTGTCACTTTCGACGGACTCATAGTCAAAACGCGCAAGAGCACCGAGGAATAAACTGCGACCTGGGCGCACACGATACGTCGTGACCTGATCAGAAGCACAGCAAAGCACGAGACAGGTTAGCAAGATTTGACGCATCCTGGCACTCGTAGAGCAGTTGACGTGATATATGTTAAAGACGTGCCGGTAATTGCTTTGACGGAAACACGTTCTTCAGTTTGGCAGCGCCGTCGAGTGCAAGCACTTCCACAAGCTTCTGTCGCTTCGAGTCAATAATCAACCCGGGGGTGTCCAGGACGTTGAAAGCTTCATTGTGCACCATGACTGGCACATACTGGACGGCTAAAGTTGTGCCTGGAAGCGGCGACGTGGTCATTTCTCGATCTTCTTCTGCACTCGTCTCGATCATTTCTGGATCCTCGCCAGGTGCAACGTAGAGCTCGCCATGCGGAGTCACAACAGTCGTCTCGCCTTCTACTGACGCCCCTTTCTCGTTTTTTTCAGCTTTTGTCTCCTCTAGCAAACCTTCGTCAATGTTGAGCATCCTCGCTGTCTCTTCGTTCTCCAGCTCGGACAATGGCACCTCAGTCATTTTCATATACTTGCGGTGGTTGTGCTGCCACTTCCGATCGACCAAGTGCGACAGAAACGAGTTCAGGAACGTCGACTTGCCCACATTAGCAGCCCCCACGACACAGATATCACGACCGTGACGAAACTTGGCCACATCTTCGACAATCTCCTTCATGCCAATCTTTTTCATAGCACTGATCAAGTAGATGGACAGCACATTTTCAATCCCAGCCTCCCTGCAAACGACCGCCATCAACAAACACACCGCCTCGTTAGTCACAGACTATCCTGATAGCAACAGCCACTGGTACATCATAGCCTACTTTGCCTCCTGCTTGATCCTCCTCATCAGTCGTCGAATGCCCGACTTGGTCGGCACCAGATCTCCCTTATTCACCACCAGCATCACGGGTTTATTCCCAAACACATGGCGTGCCTTGGGCAATAAACTTCCCGAGATATCGAGAATGTCCACGAGTTGAATCATGAGCAGATCTTGGCTCCTTAGCTCCAGCACGCGCTTCTCGTACTCGTTGTACGGCATCTTTGTATCCGAGATTTTACCATATTGTGTCATCTGGAAACAGCGTTCACAGCGCAGTCGCTTGAGGTCCTTTAGCTCCTGCACGTTATCCAGTAGCTGCTTGGGAAAGTATCCAATGAGCTTGGGCTCTTCGTACTGCAATGCAATGCCACAGCCACAACACGTCCATTGCTCCATCAGCGACACATGGTTCAAGATCTGATCCACTGTCACTTGTGGCTGATTCGCAGTCTCTTGTGCAGTATGAGGACGACGTTCAGGAGGCTCGAGAGCTCGAGATGACGCAGTGGACGAGCAATTGTGACGGCTAGAGAGCGAGTTGACAGATACTTGAAGCTGCAATGGATGGAGCAGATGCAGAGCTGTAAGTGGATGAGTCGATGTGCATTGGGATGGAGTGCGCAAGCCGCGCGAGCTGCGGAAGAGCAGCGTCCGGAGGGGCAGCATTTGGTGGCCAGTCGATGATGTGATGCCGTTTGGGTACAGATGGTGTGGCAGTGAGTGGTGTGTGCCACGTTTGTTGTTGCAGGGGTAGAAGCGTCGTGGTGGGGTATACGTATACAAGTTGAATGGTCGGTCATTGTGAGCTTGTAGGTACACTACAGATTTTGCATTGTTGGGTATGATGGCCACAGTACACAGTCTTTTTGTCCAGGATGAGCTCTGGATCTCACCACCGTTGAATGAAGTGAAGACCGCATGAAGAAAACAAGCGCTTTCATCTTCTTGAATTGTGCTGTTTCAAGGCATACAAGTATAAGGATGCTAAGACGCGCCCGAGGCATCGACGAATGAAGTGGTTTCTCTTCATTCATCGACAAGTGAGGTAAAAGCTGTTATGTCGGCACGAGCTAAGCTTTTGAACACGTCATCCTTCGTCTACTGGTATGATGCTGCATTACTGATGCGATTGGTCGGCAATCGCATCGTATAGGAACAGAATATTTTCCTGCAACTTGCAAGAAATGTATCCCATTCAGAGATCAATGATGATAAAATTCCAGGCGAAAAGACCCTTCGTGGTGCATTCTCTCTGATTCCAAAATTGAATTCGAAAGTCCCCGTTTAATTGATACGTACGCAGATAAAAAAGTCTTGGCGGTAGCATCGGAGCGATCTTTTCGGAAATGTACAACACGGTCACCCTAAGGCATATTCAGGCTGTCGATGTTTTCGAAACTAGTACTGGCATCTGTTCGCATATCTCACCCGCAGCACTCTACGGGACGCAGGCTAGATTTTTCGACAAAGGTGACAAAGCTGCAGGTCGATACGGAAGTCATAGGCGGAACAGACACTTGAAATTGCTGGGAAGACTCAAATGCCGCGTTGTACTCTACTGAGGTAAAAAATTGGATCCAGTCGTAGGGCAAATCGTGGTAGTTGGTTGCTAACTGTCCCTTGATGATATGGCTAGCCCTACAGCTGCATCGTACAAGCACAGGCTTGATAACACTAGCGATTTACACAAGTCAAGCTTGGGTCTTCTGATCGATTCGTACGCAGTGTTAGGCCGTCGATCGGTGATATCGCTGTGATATCGCCAAAAATTTCCATAAAACTCACTAGAACAACTTCGAAGTTCGTCTCTCTTTCTTGGCGTTTTTAGCCATCATCTGCTTGATTTCTGCACATCCTTATTTCTAGAAGAAAACCGTTGATCCCCTCAGCTTTCTGGTAAAACCTCTTCAGTTGAGTATAGTGCTACATGATTGGCTAATTGTGAGTCGAGAACAGAGGTAGCAATATCACATCAGTTGGATTTTCAAATTCATTCTTGTCGTAATCAGATACAATTGAACCTTTTTCCGCGTAAATGTCATGCAGTGGACGTCATTGTCAAAGGCCTTTCAGCCAAATTGGTGATGTTCTTAAATCAGAAGACGTGAGTAAGCAAGTGAGTGTAAAGCCAATACATCAAACCAAAACAAGCAACAATCAGCATCACTGATGCAATAAATGCGTAGAACTTGTGGAGATGATTGCGGCCGTTGCATTAGGGTGGTTCACAATGCACAACAATGTGGAAGTTTGATCGGACCAACACTACCACCTGCAGAACTCGACGGAACCAATTTATAGATCAAAACAACTTTGAATGCATTCCTCAGTACGATTCTGTCGACTTTGCAGGCACTGTCACTCGTGCAATGCTGAAATGGACGCTTACTTACTCGAGCACACAGTTTTCTCGGCTTCATTGGCAGCACCAACGACTTGATTATCGTCAGGTAGTATTTCACTTGTTGTGGTGCCTTAACGTCGTTGTAATAACGGGAGCGTCCGCATGGGGCTTGTCTAAAGCTCCCTGTTCACGACTATCTGAAGGTCCTCCTGCATGCAACTATGCGCTTCTACGTTGCACATGAACAGACCCGGCACAGCACAGGAAAATAGGGAGTTATTCAGCAACGAACAATACAAATAATTATAACACGCGTCGCGTAAGTGTGACACGAACAATCTGAATGCGCACATAACAAAAAGAAAGCAGCAGCCTTCTCACCTTACTAGCGCGAAACCCTTTGCATGAAAGCGTAATGGATACTGCTTGCTGTTGCGGAGGCGTAAACCTCTAATAATTAATAAGCGATTGAAAGCATCTGCGGACGTAAAAGCTTCGAGTCCGCAAACGACTCAGGCAAAGCTTGACATAATCGTGCGCCAAAGAGCACATTAGAACGATTGCGAGCCATACCGAATTAGGTCCAGTGGATGCTTAAAAACCGGTTATTGTGATCTATTTATCTCAAGGCATGTCAATAAATTAGCCAATCATGAAGCGTTATATTAGACTGAGGGGATTTTATCAGAAAACTGACGGGAGATCAACGGTTCCCATACACTGGTATACGCATACCAACTGGCGTACAGCATGAAAAAAACACTCGTGTCGCACTAACGGTTGCGTCGTTCACGCATTAGAAAAAAAATGTCGCGTGCTTTTGAATTCTTGCAGCGACTGTTACCGTTAGTCGCATTGCCCGGGAGATGCGGCGTTGATCATCGATGATGTCGATTTTGAGTCATCGTACGACCCCTCGTTCGAAAAAAGGAAAGACCGTTGGACCTGGTAGCAATGATAACAACCATAAAAAGATGTTGTGAACTAGCGTGGGTCTAGAGCACCACAGTTGTAACAGCAAACCGATACAACGACCTCAACAATATTTCCTAGGAGTGATGGATTCACCATCTCAACAGCGACATCTTGTATCGACCGTCACAAGTGATGTCCGAAGTCAGAGCACATTTTACTGAGTCAGCCCTGCGCCTCAAAACTCCGAACATCTACCACAGACCTGTCCGAGGTTCCGTTCGACGTGCCAGTGATAATCCGCTCCCTTCACACGCAGAAGAATCTGCAGAATACCCACGGTTGTAGGAAAGCGTGTCACTTAGTAGACAATCGCGACATCTACGAGCACGTCAATATGCACCATATTCGCGACGACAAGATAGCTATCCAGTCACGACACAACTGCCGTTTCCTGCAAGTGCGTTCGTCTGGCGTATGCGTGTTTGGCCCTGCTGAGCCTGGGAAATGGGAACTCTTTACCATAATGACGAATTCGGAATGGTTCTTTTGCTTTGTGTCATGCCGCACTGGAATATTTATAGGCCAGCCGCTACTACTTCAAGCACAGTAGTAGCTGTTCCGGTTACAGAGCAGTTGGTCTTACGTGGTCACCCATGCTTTTAGTCATCAGTGGCTATTTGGGACCTCACCAGGTTCTGGTAGGATAACAATCCTTATGGTCAGTGTGAATTGAACAAGAATAGCCTCTTTTTCAGGTGCTTTATCATAATCTCTGTCATCGGAACACGGATGCGAGAGTGAGTCAGTCAGTTGACCATGTAGTCTGCTACGATGCCCATGTTAAGTTTCATGGATCTTGAGTAATACTTCTGTTGCTGCATGCAACGTACAACATAGGTATTACGTTTTATGATACAGATTACCACGAGTGACGAGCACGGATAGTGTCTTCTTTTGCCCGTAACAAGAGGCTGCCAAAACGTGGTCATCCTTCGATCAACTCGATCAACGCAGGCAAGAAATGAGTAGCACCTGTCCATACTACCTGCCATGGTCAGTATTGCCCAAAACGACATTTCCATCAATCTGCTGATACCAAGATTACGATTGACGTACACCATGGACAAACGATCACATTCGTGAACTGACCAACTATGATGGGTGGTCAGATACCGCAAATCAATAATGTCTTACCTGCTTCCAGATTCTTGCAATGTCCGTACTCGTATATACATTGCTAGTCATTGCGGCGCTTGTCACCTTCGATGCCAAGATTGCGTCGTTGTATACGAGAATCGTTCACCACGTATTTTTGACCGTTAAAGCAGAGCGAGATAGCGACAATTTCGACAAGCGGTTATCCGTAGCATAAAGCTCGTTTTTTACGTCGATGCATAACGACTAAATCAGATTTCTACGCGAGGGATGCATTCACCGTCGCACGTAAAACGCTTGCGTCGCACATCTGTAGCGAGTTTTCCACAAATCAACAATCCAGTAAAGTGAAGCCTCTAGTCAACGGCATTTTACTTTCTTCGCCTCCCACTGCACACTTTCGATTTTACGCTATGGACCTGTCCGACATTCCTTTTAATGTGCCAGTGATCATACAATCTGTCTACACTCAGAAAAATCTGCAGAATACCATTGGTTCAAAGAAAGCTCGCTGCCTGACGAACAATCGTGATACCTTTGAGCACGTCATTCTGCATCATGTCCGCGACGATGAGGTCGCCATCCAGTCTCAACACAACGGCCGCTTCCTTCATGTGCGCACGTCCGGCGAATGTGTGTTCGGTCCTTCTGATTCGTGGGACTGGGAGCTCTTTACCATTGAGATAAACTCGGAGTGTTCTCTTTTCTTTGTGTCGTGCCACACGGGAAAAGTCCTGCAATGTGCAGGTCAAGGTGTTGTCCAGTGTGCAAACAAGCATCGTGATCGTTGGGAAGCTTGGAGGATCATAGGGCCCAGCATCAATGCTACCATGAACCAGACGCAGCGTGTATTGGATTCACGCTATTGCCTAGCAAATACAGATCGCCAGAACTTTGTGATGGATTTAGTAAAGCATGGCAAAACACCGGATGAGATCGAGCAGATTGTGACAAGACTGTTTGACGGTCCGGCCGCCAGAACTTCGACACCGGCAGTATACGCTTTAGGCGCAACAGAGTAGATGAAGTCATCGCGCGCTATCAAACTACTCTAGCAGCTTTTGGCCGATATTCGATACTCATTCAGGAAGAGGTACAATAATCGCTATTACAAATTTAATGAGGTTTCACATGACAGACATATGGACGATGTCGGCGCAATCGGACCATGAGATCAAGCATCCTTCGGAAAGACGTCCCATTACCAGAGTAACATGCTTTTTATGATTTATAAGCAAAAGCATATGCAACTGCATAGATTGACCCGCTAAGAAAAATCTGCTGAAGGGGTTAATTTAACTACCAATTGATTTATTGCCAAACTCGGCAAACACAATTGTGACACGTACATATTCTTCCAATCTAAGTCAATGATACAATTGACATGACACCTATCGCAGCGAGCACGGTGGACCTCTCCTACTAATTTGTACGCACACAACTAACACGTGTTAGATGTATTCGACGCACGAGCCGTAGACTGCAACTTCTCACAATAAATGTCACTCTGAAGAGTGAAGCTCTTAGTGACTGTGCGCAAGGTGAAAGCCGAACTTTGGGGACCTACTTTACATAGCCTCTGCGTACACCAGCGGAATCACATGAGCGCCTTTCTCCCTAGCCTGCATCTCTAAAGCACAGCGGATTAGCAGGATGAGCGATCGTTAGAACAACGACGCGTGATTTAAGGACTCTGCCGCTAAAACATGTGCCTTCAGAAGACTACTCGTGCGGTTTACAGTCGGACACGGGCTATTAGCCATCCGATGGGCGTAAAAGAGGCATAATTTCTACCCCCCCTGCCACCCTTACGCCAAATGATCTCCTTCAAAACGTTCTGCCTATCATTGAGGCTATGGATGAGGCTATTGTCATAGCTGGAATTAAAAAATGGAGAACAGCTACTTAAGGATGCAATATGCTTAACTTTTAAGACGTGACACTCATTCGGACAGCTCATGCAAAAACCTCCTTACAGTTTCCACCTTTCGGGTGAAAAGGCAATGAGAAATATCTGGATTTCTGCTGAACTCGACTAAGTCATAGTGAACGGTATAGAGTAAAAGTTCGTCGGTCATCGGTCGTTATTGCAAGCTCAAAGGGTAACAATGTTACACAAGTAGTTGTGGTACACACAGAAAGAGATCAGTATCACTGATAAAGCGTACTTAGTATCGCACGCTAAGCGATAATTCCATACTTAATCAGTTACGGTCAGAGAATATCTATCGTAATAGGGCCTTCATAGGGGCGACTCAAATTTGGTGTGGTACACAAGAAAAATCTCCATGAGGAATACTCGGTTGGGTAGCATAGTTCTAAGGATCAAAATGTAAATGATGTACATCATCTTTATAATAATGCAAATATATTCAGTTCCCCTGTTGATCAGTTTCAAACACGCGTATTTCTTTGATGTATCTGGTCGTATGAGTTGAAAACGTGCAATAAGTCGAGTACTCATAAGCATTAGTGCCATGTGATTTTGAAGTCATAGTCCACTGAAGCAGGACTAAAAGCTTAAGGGCTTGTAATGGTACTCAAAGGTAAGTCTTACCAAATCTGAAAGCCTTGAGACCCTCAAAAGTTATAAACGTTTTAGTTTAATATACTAAGAGACCCTACGCGTCCAGAAGTATTCCTCTGGCTAAGGAGGGAGTGTAGCTTCGCTACAGGATCCATCCTAAAGCGCGTCGGCGCGCATCCATGCTACTCGTAATGAATGTTAATTTTCTCCAAATATCTGTAAAACGATTTTTAATAATTTATTAACGCTTAAACCCTTTGTTGTGATCGATTTTATCCGAACGGTTTTCATCTCTGGATCTCTTTCTGGACAATAAAGACAGTGCACCGAGAAATTGTCTGTGTCGAATTGTCACTAAAATTACACAAATTCATAAATTCAGACCTTTTTAGGGTCATTAGTTGCGATAGCCCTGATAGATGGAAGATCTACAGCAGTACATTTTACCGTATATCCTGCATTTCGATCGAAATGGATCCAGCTGAGCCTAACATACGATGCGTGACCCCTTGACCGCTATACTTCACTCCTATGATTGGACGCAGAGGTTTAGGGTCTCTGATATTGACACAAACGGCGCCGCAAGACTGCTCGTGTAGCCGTCAAATGAGAGAATTCTCACAGTAAATGATAACATACGCAAAGTTCAAGGTCAAAATATACTCGAGTGATAGCGGATAGCATGCAACACGCCGCGCGGATCCGATTTGCAGCCCGTTGAAACATGGAATACTGAATGTAACGGGGTGAGCTTGTTTCATGTAATTAATCCTTGATACTAGTAAATGATAATAGCAGTATAAAGATTGATAATGCTCGTGAATATTAATATAGGGGGTACTGTATAGAATCACTACCGAGTGGATGATATAATTCATCATATCAGTAGCTCTAGCGGTCCTACCAACAATTAATGCACGCAATGAGTTATTGAGCAAGTCTTTAGCATTCTTTTTTGTAGACATATATAATTCAGTCAGTACTAAAACATAGGTAAATGATTAGGACTTATTTGCATTCAGTACAATTTTACTTCCACCAGCAATTAGTAAGTTTCTAGTTGCTTTCCGCTTCTATTCCCGATTACGAAGGTGGCGAGGCACCGCTCACACTGCTGTCGACGATAGTAGCTCCACACTGATTGTTAAGTGTGTTGCTCCGGTGCCCCGTTACACGGAGGAGCTGGACCGTAGTATGTGGACGCTGCTATTAACGTTGTTGCCTACTCGCATTAACATGCAGAAGTAGAGAGCACCGATAAATCGACGTTCACTGCTGGAATGGACGCGTCGAGCATCATGGGTGGCCAAGACGATGATGCCCTGGTAAAGTGTACCGCGGTAGTGCAGCCATACGAGCGATCTTTTACATCTTCAGACGACATGTTCATGACAGGGAATACTAGCGTAAAAGATTCTAGCGAAATAAGCCAGTTTGTGATACTGATGTATCTCAGGAAAAGAACAGCAATTAAACGCTAGCCGACTATGTTCTGATGTAGATTTCAACTCGCTTGCAAAATGGCATTCGAACCTTGCACAACTGTTCCTTGCTTCAGGTATTCGTCAGCTTTTAACAGTTCGCAATCCCTCTATTTTGAGTTTGTATTTATCCTGTGAACGCCGACGATTTTTTAAACACTTTGGGTGCGTAACAGTGGTAGCTTAGATGAAAATACTCCTTGTTTGAGAAGCGAGAAATTCAGCTTCGTAGAAAATAACTGACGTTCCCTTCGTGTCACCCACTATAAGATAGGATTTTCAAAGGCACATGACAGCTCTGATAACACGTCAACGCAAAATTGTCACAACTCCTCGTAAATCGCGTCTTGCTCATCATCCACTTCCTGAGAAAGTGTGTGAGACAAGGCAATAATCTCTACACCATTCAGCAGACCGAGACTGACCAAAAAAACGGACTCATCGCCGAAATATTCTATAGTCTTGTATTAAAATACAACCACGAAACTGTTGCAAAAGAAACGCCTCGGCAGGCTGATTTTGTAAGATGCACGTAGCTCATGTGGTATGGTGTGGCAGCACCATACGAGAGGTCACTGGTTCGATATCCAGTGACTGCAATAAAAGTTAATACCTTCGGGTACTGGTGTGCCGGGGTTCACCAGCACTGTCCTGCCAGACAGTGACGTCCCCCCACATTTAGTAAGTTTAGGTGTTTGTTAGAAACACACCGCCTAGATTTAGTAATGTGCGACTAGACGATTAGTAATGCGCGATGTGGCGATTACTAATCTGCTCTATACCAGTAGTAATGCGCAATGTGGCGATTACTAACGTATAGGCAGAAAGAATTCAGTAGGCTTAGACTAGCAACAGGAGTTTGTGAACTAAGGACCTAAATATATTCACTTTGCATTTTGCCAACTTCATCTAGAATCGATCACATCCTTTAGGTTATGAGCCCAAGCTTCGCAGACTCTGACAAAGACCTCGATCACGCCTTCGCCATGGACTCGTCTCCGTTTACCGCCGCTCGCATTAACAAGTTCTCCGGAACAAACTTCCATGTGTGGAAGTTCAAGATGCAAATGGTGCTGGAGGAGCGAGACCTGTGGGACGTCGTGAGCGGCGAGGTCAAGATCGAGCACTGTACAAGTACTTTGGACCAAGCGACGTTCAAGCGAAAGTCGCGAAAGGCGCTAGCGATAATCTGTCTTGCGATGGAGGATTCGCAGTTGCCACTGGTTCGCTCGGCGAAGGACGCGTATGATGCATGGTCACGTCTGGAAGGACACTACGAGAAGAAAAGCTTGGCTAATAAGCTTTTCCTTCGTCGCCGGTTCTTCACGACAATGATGGGAGAAGGTGATGACGTGCTGGAGCACATCAACAGACTCAAGACTCTGGCGGAGCAATTGGACGCAGTCGGTGCTCCGGTCAGTGAGGACGATTTGGTCATCACGCTTCTGGCCAGCCTTAGCGAGTCGTACCAGTTCCTGATAACAGCATTGGAGTCGAGAGCCGACTCGCTGTCGTGGGAGCTAGTGACGTCTCGGCTATTGCATGAAGACATGAAGCGCAAGGAGCAAGGTGGCGGAATCGAAGGAGCCGCGCACGATCAAGCTCAAGCATTCATATCAAGAGACAACAAGTGCAAGGCTCGACCGGCTAAGAAGACCGGTGCGTGCCACAATTGTGGAAAGCAAGGACATTGGATTGCGGAATGCCCTTCGCGGATCCAAGAAGACGCTGGTAGACAGAGGTTCCAGCGTGCGAATATCGCGCAAGAAGAAGAGCTTGGCGATTACCTGTTCTCGGTTGGTATTGGCAAGACCAAGTCGAGTTACATGTGGCTGGTCGATTCAGGGGCGACGCAGCACATGACAAGTTCGAAAGAGTTCATGAGGAACTACAAGGACTTTGGACCAGTAGATGTGCATCTTGCTGATGATGGAATTGTACAAGCGATTGGAAAGGGTGACATTGTCATGTCAATGATGACTCGTCAGGGCGTCAAGAAGGGTGTGCTCACAAATGTGTGGCATATCCCAAAGTTATCTCGAAACTTATTTTCCGTTGGAAGATTCATCAAGGACGTGGGGCCTGTCACCTTTGAAGTCGATGGTTGCTTCGCGGAAACGAAGGGTTTCAAGTGGAAACTAGGCGCTCTAGAAGGAATGGGATTGTTCAAGATGTGTATGACACCGGTGCTTCCTGCCGAGGTCACTGAGGCCGCGACAAAGAAGGAGGATAAGGCTGGCCAGGCGAAAGACAAAGCTGGTGAGATGAAGGACATGGCTGCGGAGAAGGCGGGCCAAGCCAAGGACATGGCACAAGACAAGGCTGGTCAGGCAAAAGACAAAGCCGGTGAGATGAAGGACATGGCCGCAGAGAAGGCGGGCCAAGCCAAGGGCATGGCACAAGACAAGGCTGGTCAGGCAAAAGACAAAGCTGGTGAGATGAAGGACATGGCCCAAGTAAAGACTGGTCAGGCAAAGGACATCCTTGAGAAGTTTGGCATGGAAAACAGCAATCCTGTCAAGACTCCACAAGAACCTGGACTCAAGTTGACAAGGTCAATGTGTGCAGATGGGTGCAAGCATGCGGAAACAATGGCAAATGTGCCATACCGCAACGCCATCGGCTGTTTGATGTATCTCATGGTGGGGACCCGCCCGGATATCGCAGTTGCAGTGGGAGTTCTCAGTCAGTTCGCGGCAGAACCTTGTCCAACCCATTGGCAAGCGCTAAAGCGGGTGTTCCGTTTTATTCAAGGCACAAGGACGTATGGAATTGAATTCCAAGCAACCAGTGATGACAAGCTGCAAGGCTACTCGGACGCGGACTGGGCTGGAGATGTCGAGGCTAGACGAAGCACAAGCGGGTACGCCTTTGTGATGAACAACGGATGCATTAGCTGGAGAAGCAAGAAACAGAGCACCGTGGCTCTATCGTCTACAGAAGCCGAGTACATGGCTTTGACTGAAGCTGTACAAGAAGCAATTTGGCTTAAGGCATTCTTACATGAACTCGGCGAGATGAATAGCGACGAAGCAGTCAAGATCTACGAAGACAATCAAGGTTCCATCGCTTTGGCCAAGAACCCCGAGTTTCACAAGCGGACCAAGCACATCGACATTCGTTATCACTTTGTGCGTGAAAAGGTGGCAGAAGGAAAAGTGGTCCTAGAATACTGCTCGACCAAGGACATGAAGGCTGACCTAATGACCAAGCCAATTCCTGCATCACAGTTCCAGTATCTTCGAAGTATGTTGGGCATCAAGGCGCCACGGTCTGCCGAGGCGAGTGGGAGTGTTGCAAAAGAAACGCCTCGGCAGGCTGATTTTGTAAGATGCACGTAGCTCATGTGGTATGGTGTGGCAGCACCATACGAGAGGTCACTGGTTCGATATCCAGTGACTGCAATAAAAGTTAATACCTTCGGGTACTGGTGTGCCGGGGTTCACCAGCACTGTCCTGCCAGACAGTGACGTCCCCCACATTTAGTAAGTTTAGGTGTTTGTTAGAAACACACCGCCTAGATTTAGTAATGTGCGACTAGACGATTAGTAATGCGCGATGTGGCGATTACTAATCTGCTCTATACCAGTAGTAATGCGCAATGTGGCGATTACTAACGTATAGGCAGAAAGAATTCAGTAGGCTTAGACTAGCAACAGGAGTTTGTGAACTAAGGACCTAAATATATTCACTTTGCATTTTGCCAACTTCATCTAGAATCGATCACATCCTTTAGAAACTACACTTACGTATGGCCATGGAACAAGAAATCATTACTTTGGTTTTTTTGCACTCGTCTTGATTTTAAATTGAGGGATAGACCTAGCGTGTGGCAATGTTTAGAGAAAGCAGCTGTCAAATCAAATTATACGGTTCATTTGTATTGCTCGCAAGGTACGGTGTCTTGTAAAGGTGTTGATCTACCAGCATTTTAGGCGACCGCAATTTGAGACTAAAAAAGACTGATGAAACATATTTGTGTACCTGGGGCTACATCTTGACACAAGTATTCCTTCATCTGGAGCTGTCCACCCGTCCCGATATTTTTAAACTTTCTGGTATCGCTATCAGATCATCGTTCAATCCTCTTCAGTAGGAGACTCGCATACAACGGCGTAATCTTGGTACACTGTAAACCTGTTGTGAAGTCCCATCCTTCAATTGAACCCTTTTTTTTTAAATCGTCACACGTGCCCCCGAAAGCCACTCCACAAACTATTCCCTCCAACTGACTTCCCTCCCTAAATAAAGCCCCACCCCGAAGCAACGGAAAGCAGTCTTCATTGAAGTAAGAACCTACCAGAATACACAACGTGAACGGGGTGAATCGTTACATAACAATTTATAAGAAATTGTTGATAGAATAACTATAAGAGTTATATTCTCAGAATATTGTCATAAGGAAAAATATTCTGTAGCACTTACGAGTAGTTCCTAATTGGTTGATATAGGCCATTATATCAACCAACGAAGACGCGCCACGACAGACGCACGCAATGAGTGGTGAGCAGATATTTATTTTACACATTTGTATTTAGAAATAGTTAGATGAGGACAAATAGTGATTTATTGCAGACATTAACTATACTAAAAACAGTTCTACTTTTTACTTTAACCAAGTACTCGCTTCTTCTTACCGTCTTCCTCTGCACGTACGAGTGTACGTGAAGTTCCGAGGCACCGCCTTATTCTGTGATCAGAATAAGTAGCTTGTACTGTCACCAGTACAAGCTTCAGGGTGCCCCGTTACACAACGCCTAATTGATAACAATCCAGCATTCTTTACGTGATTGCTACTTGTAATACACAGCATAGGTTCTCATTTTTTTGATCAACTATGGAGTGCCAACGCTACACAATCGACAAGAAGCAGATTTCAAGGGGGTGAAGAAGGCACTGGGATACAATTTGTGGCCGTCAAGTACAACGAAGTTTTTGCTGCATCTGCGACTGGGTCCACCAAGACAATGCTGGCGCGTTCGACGAGGAGTCGCCGAGCAGGTTACGTATTTATGGTGGAGGGTGCCGTATTGCCTGTGAGAACTGGACTGTTTTCTGATCGCTGAATTGCATAAAGTCATTTCCAAGCACGTCGGTGTCACTCACCGGCGGGTCGTGGAGATAGAGGCAAACATCCTCTGGAAGATGTCAGAGCAGCCTGGCCTCGCTCTCTAGAATGTTTAGCTTGAGTTGCTTTTTGCCGACACAATCTAGTCTTGAGAAAGCCGACATTGAGTGCTGAAGTTGTCTCCACGCGCAGTGCCAACTTCATCTCGCACTTGCGCGAGCTTGTCCGCGAATACAGTGTCGAGACGCAAGCGTGATCAACCTGAATGAGACCATGGTCTTTGCTGACCATGAAAAGGAAACTACGCTTGCGGAGCGCGGGGCCACCCCAGCGTACTCGTCCGGTCTCTCTATTTAGAGAAGATTCGATTGACTGCTGTGTTTGCTATTCACGGCGACGATCCAAGTTGGAGCCACGTTTTCAAGACAAGGGTAGGAACGCAAAGATCTCGACGGAACAAGAAATACGTATTATCACCAACGCCAAATTATGGATGTATTCGGAATTTTTTATTCAAAACGTCGACTGCATGCTTCTGTTGCCTGAGCCAAAAATTTTGCGTGTGCTCGATTCCGCACCAAGTCTCGTGAGCGAGAAGGTGTAGACTCACCTACAGGCTTGTAAAATTCCGTACGTGGTCATTCCCGGCGGACTAATGGTGTACTTCCAGCCCTGTAATGAAGGCGTCTTAAAGCCCTTGTAAGAGCGCCTAGCCGACCTGATCGACATTAGGAAGGAGTACAAACCCCACTTCTACACGGCAGGTTTAAATTTGCGTCTTACGTCGCTCTCAACAGTCGTCGGCTGGATCAAGGCTGCGTGGTCGAAGATTTGCAGCCCATAGATTCGCCGCAGCTTCCGCAGCTCCTTTTTCGGAGAAAACGATTATTTGGAGTTTTAGCGTCACGAAGAATACGGATTCCATTTTCAGCAACTTGTGGTCAGGAGCGACATCTAAGACTCGCTCTCGAACTAACTCCTCTTGGAGGACAACAGCTTCAATGACATGGACATCGACATTGACGACGACGACGACAATAAAGAAGACGAGTAAGAACTTCTTTTCTCAAAATCTACAGCTCTGGAGCAGTGATTTCTTAGGAGTGCATACCTGCGAAGTGCAACGTGAGATGTACAAATCAACGTGAAATGCGTCGAATACAGCTATTAGATTCAACTGACATCGGCTAGATTTTGGTCTTGTTGCTTTGGAAATAATTAGGAAAACAGAGATCAAGTTGCTCAGCACACGTTTCATTGGCGTGCACATACTCCATAAAGAGACGCTTCATTAACTTCTGCATTTTGCTTGCAGGATGTGCACAATTAAACCTACCCACGTCCTAACGGCTCATGGACTTAATGCGCCACGGGACGCCAGTAGCGCGGGGTATATGATACCCGAACGTAGCTCACCACGAGCAAATTTATAGAATGAGAAATTTAGAGGCACGAGACTTGTGTTGGCATCTGCCTTTATGTCGTCTTAGAACAATGTCTTCTCTCAATCTCATTCCATTTTTGCTAACCAAATTTTAAGTTCAATCTCTTAGTTTTTATCCTAATCTTTTGCATTTAATCCCTATCCTAATTCATTAATCTCAAATAAAACCTATCCTTCAATGATAACCCGTTCTACGGTGGGGTGATAGCAAACACCGAAGTGAGTTTTTGAAACAGATATCACGGTTAAAAATGAAAGGACTCGTAAATGAACTTTCGGGTAACATCTAATTATAGGTGATCAAAGCAATTAATCGGTCGAGTTAAATGGGAATGCGCATTAACCGTTTTAAGCTAGCCGATTTATGATATCCGCGTTCTTTTGTCCGCGCAGTACACGGATAGATGTCTGTGTACTATCGATTTCACTTAAAATGATGTACCCAGTGCAGTTTGGGATGATACACAAGTGAGGGTAGAATAAAGTTAGTCAAAAAAATTCAGTGCAGTTCTATATGATGCACAAGTGTAGGGTGGTTTCTTTTGACCGCGAGGATCAAATTGATAAAGAAGCCACAATCCCTTTAAAGCGCTTACGATAATAGCGCTGGTCGACGATTCCGTATATTTCGACACTAATAAAAACCTATAAGCCTATCATACCTTTGTTGGAAACTAGATACCGCAAATTAGGCGTTACGCAAGCAGTGTTTAATCGAATACGGACAGTTTCGTAGCCGCAGATCTTAGGTTAAAGATTAAATCTCACTATCAACACCATTCCAGGTCAAAAGTCTCATGGTCAGCACCAGTCTCAAAATCAGCATCAGCCAATATCCAATTTAGTGTAGATAACACTATTTAGTGCACTCAAATATAAGAACAACATAATGCTACAAGCGCCACGAATTTAAGTGCTCAATAACTGCTAGATGTATCAAGATCCTACGCAAAAGGGTGGCGATTAATTTAGGTGCAAGTTATGGACCACTGAATTGGTGCATTGACAAATTTCCCATTTTGGTGTTAATGCAACCAGATTTTAACAGACTACTTTTTTATTGATCGAAACCGGCAGTGCAGGGTTAAAAATAGTGATAGCAACAGCAATACGTATGTGTGCCCACAGGATCGATGCCGATGGGAGGTTTATTTACTGAAAGAAAGTAAATGGGTGCAGCTCCAGAGCACTTCAATTTCTGCTTAAATGCCGACGTGTGCCTGGCAATCGCCAAGCCATCTTCTTGGCAAATTAATTAGCTTTACATCTATGTACAGCAGGGTTATTTGCGACCCTGAAGGGTAGAAATGCAACGATATTGATTACAGTACGCGATGCAATAGATAGAATGCACGTGTATCTTACAAGCTAATTACGACATCGTGGCTGAAGCCAAAATTATATTACCTTGTCCTTGTTGTTAGCACTATCGGTTGATAACTGATTTCGATTTCGTTAAACGCGAAGAAGTCGCGTGAATAATCAGCTAAAGCATAATACTTCACAGTGATTAGTCGCTCTATACTATAAGCTTACTACATCGTGTAGCATTACAGGAGGAAGCATTGGACGATGATCTTGCGTCCGCTGTCCCTTTTCAGTTCTTACAAGGACCTACACAACAAACAAAACACACCACAAATTATGCAGCATTGAATGTCCAGCATGCAGCCGCCTAACACTATCTCGTGCAGCAGCACTGCTAAATTTGCTTTCACCCAGTATCAGCACAACATGCCCAGCACTCTAGGTATTTATTCCATTTTTCTGCTCAAGATTTTAAGTGCTGTATTGAAGTTCATTCCTACCCACAGATCACGAAATCCACA